AATTAATAAATGAATTAAACTAAAACTAAATTATTACAACGATTTTTGTATATATGCAGTTAAAAGTGTGTATTTAACTGTTGTTGTTTCGTTTCCTGTACAGGACCCAGATTCTTTGAAGAGTCCGATTTTCACCCCAACAACCGGACGCCAGGAGCACGGCCTGCTTAACCTTTACCACGCCATGGAGGGCGCCTCTCATCTGCACATCCTGGTGGTCAAACAATTGGAGATGCCCCACTACAGGAAGTACTGGCCCAACCACATCCTGCTCGTCCTGCCCGCCATGTTCAACAATGCKGGAGTTGGTGAGCAGTAAAATCACAGTTCATTCGTACGGCCAAGAACCACAGGGCGAGGCTTCTCACATAAATATAAATAAAYATAGATCAAGGGCTATTCAACGAAATTGCTCCGGGGGGCGCTGGGCGTTAATGGTATGTGAAACACTGTAGCATGTAACAAAACAAGTATTATCATCTTTTACCTTCTCAATTTGTCTATTTTATTGCACTGAAACATAAATTGTAAATTCACAAATGCTTTGAAATGTGTATTTCATATTAAATGAAGTTAAAAAAAAATCAAAATTCAAAAACTCGCTCATTACTGGGTCGGAAGGTCGTCACCCGCAAGCCGGATGTGGCCCGCGGGCCACCAGTTGAATTGCCCTGTTATAGATATTTTATTAACGCATTCGTCTTTAGTTAAAATAAAAAGATAAATTAATATAAAAATATAAATTAATTATAAATACACAATTACTTATTAAGCAAATAAGCAATATTTGTGCAGAGATATGAAACAAAATAGATGTTGAGATCAAAACTACCAGTTGTGTAATCTTGCCACCTTTTTAATGATAATTGAATTTTGTTTTTTTAGTTTGTTTTATACATTGTCTCAATACTATAATGTTTTATTAATTTTTAACTGGTTCATTCTTCCGTTGCTAAAAGCCCATTTAGGGAAATGAGCCTAGGCTGTAAATGTTTTAGTGGATGTTATTATTAATACTTGACACTATTCAAATAAATAAAATAAATAAATTGAACTAATCTAATAAATTAATAGAACACAAAACAGTATGAGCACCCAGGCTTTCTGTTGCTTGTGTTTCCAGCTTATCAGTCTGCAGGTGATAGCAGCTACTGAGACAACGGGCTCATTATTTACAACTTGCTATTTGTTTGTTGAAGGTGAAAGGTAAAATGCTTCCTGTAGCCAACGTGAGAGAGCCATCAGGGGTGAAAACATCAGTGTKAAAATAGGGTGATTTGAAAGGCAGCCAATCAGGTGTGTGGTCTGTCTGAAGTAGGTCTTAAAGCTCAGCTGCACTTAGACAAATGACAGCAGCCCTTACCTTGAACCTTGATCTTGATGTGGCTTTCTGCCAATATTATGGTTCAGGGGGGGGAAAAAAGGTACCGCATTAACATAATTTATGTGCAGCCTCATATAGAGCATGAATTAGCATTTTACATGTGTATGGTATATATTTACATCTAAAAGTGCCTCTTTTAACAGTTTGCTGTGATTTAAAAGACATTGTGCTTTTAAGAGAGAGAAAAAAGGCAAATTCTCTGTTTAAGGAGCTGCTCGCTTCATGATCAAAGAGCTGTCATACCACAACCTGGAGCTGGAGAGGAACCGACTGGAGGAGCAAGGTATCAAGAGACAAGATGTATGGCCGTTTATTGTCATGATGGACGACTCTTGCGTGCTGTGGAACACCCACCAGGCTGCAGACGGGAGGTACGGAGCGAGCTGGTGTGACCCTGTTTCCAAAATAGTAGAGATAAAGACCATTAAGGGGATAGTTATCTGCTGTGACATCAGTCATGGAGTTTGGACAAAAAGGCAAAAGTCTTCATCTTTCACAAAATGTTTTTTCTGCATAAACYTGGATTTTAAACATTAAAATTTTAGGTTTCAGTCGTGCTTCCTAAACCGCTTTCTCTGTTTACGCCATGTTTTTAGTGAGACACCAGACGGAAGCTCAACGCTCTCCAACGTGTCCCTGAAAACGGTGCTGCAGCACATGGAGAACACGCCCAAGATCTCCCTGTACGCGATGTGCGGCATCCGCAAGTGGTGCAGCGGCCTGGCTCGCCGGTCCCCCGGACACCCCTTCAGCCGATGCCACCTCCACGACTTTGTCCTGCTTAACGTGGACCTGACCCAGAACGTTCAGTATGATCTCAACCGGTAGGTGCATAGAAGGCACTGTCAGCCGGTACGTTAGGAGTGCAGTGGTCTTTATTAGTTGCTGTGTTGTGTTAGGTATGGCTGTGAGGAGGTGGACTTTAACCTGAGGGTTAACAGCAGTGGGCTGCTTCTGTGTCGCTTCAACAACTTCTGCCTCATGAAGAAACACATTTCAGTTGGAGGAAACAAAGACTTTGTGGTCAAACCTAAATTTGTGGTGAGTGTCATATTCTCACTTCACATACATGTAGACTAAAAAAAGTTTGCTGGTTTCCTTGAGTGATGAACATTAATCTAACCCTGCTTCCTTGGCTCTTCAGGAAATAGAAAATAAGGCTCCAATCAGCCCAACGCAGTACGTTTGCGCCCCGGACAGTGAGCAGACCCTCCTCGACGCTCCAGCCCAGTTTCTGTTGGAGAGTTTCCTGCAGAGCTGCAGCCACAGACTGTTTCCGAAGGCCGTTCAGAACAGAAGCAACCCAGTTCTGTCCATCGACAGCTACCTCAACCTCAGCCCAGAGGTAAGATCTCTGAGCGCTGAGCTCATTGAACTAAGCTTAAAAAAGGAATACATCACCACTGCACTTACTGTAGATTTCTATTGACTGAAGCCACTCCATCTTACCAAGTTTTAAAATCTTATATCCAGCCAAAAAGTCTTTTTGATCTTGTTTTGAGACTCATTTACTAAACAAGAACTGATTGTGTAAGAATAATAGTCTTGTTTTCAGATTGTGTAAGATTGTTTGTCCTGTTAGCCTGAAATTTTGACTCAAATTAAGTCAAGTATTTCTGCCAATGAGTAAGAAAATTTTCATTGGTAAGATTCTTGACATACTTGATTTGACTCAATTTTTTCTAATTCCAAGAATATTACTAAGTAAAATTTTCTTACGCCATTGGCAGAAATTTTTGACTTAATTTGAGTCAAATTTTCAGGCTAACAAGACAAATAATATTACATATTCTTAAAGGCACAGTGTGTAGGATTTGTTGTTTTCAGCGACATCTAGTGGTTGAGTGGTTGAATCATCCTCCCTGGTCCTCCCCCCACCCCCACCCCCCTTCCAAACACAAAGGACTTGCTACGGTGTCTCTCAGGTGTCAGAAAACTTTGATAATTCCAATCACGATGTCTACCAGCAGCTTCAGGGCTAGTGATGTTTCAAGTGGTAAGATTATGAGCTTTAATAAGTAAAATTGTCCCAGCTACAATGACAGACAACAAATATTACATTTATAGTATTACAACTAAAACCGTTTTTGACGCCGCCACCGCAGTTTGTCCTTCATGGGCCTTCGTAGACAAGATGGCGGTGCAAGATGGCGGCTGCCTGTAGGGCGACCCGCGACCATGGAGATATAAACAGCTTTTTATAAGGTAAAAATAATAAAACAAGGTCTTTGTCTGCAATGATTAGAAATGTTTTTTATTGTTGTCATTAGTGATTATCTCAATTTCGGCTAAAAGAATTGACAAAATCCTACACACTGTGCCTTTAAAACAAGATTTTTATACTTACACAATCAGTTCTTGTTTAGTAAATCAGTCTCAAAACAAGATCGAAAAGACTTTTTGGCTGGATATAAGATTTTAAAACTTGTTTAGGTGGACATTTTTTACAGTGATAACTGGACACTGAGGTGTCTCCTCATGTGTGTCACCATGCAAAAAAAACTTCACCAGATTCTTTAGTTAAGTTGAACACTTTACTTCCGTTTCAAAATCAAAACTTGTACAAAGTTATCCAAACATACAAATTATTAAAAAATATAAAAAAAATAACCACTTCATGTTTTTATTAGCTTGCTAAAGCGTCTCTTTTGTCCCAGATTTCTGTGTGCTACATCAACTCTCGTCCACACTCCACCAACCTCAGCCACCAGGGTTTGGTGTTCAGTGGTCTGCTGCTGTACCTCTGTGACTCCTTCGTTGTCTCCGGACTCCTCAAGAGGTTCCGCTTTCTGAAAGGTGACACCTGTGTTTATTTGCAATTTATTATGTAATGCCAAGTATTGCTTAATTGGTCTTAAATTTTGACTGATTCTGCCCCTGCACAGGCGCCACCCTCTGCGTGATCTGTCAGGACCGCAGCTCCCTGCGTCAGACCATCGTCCGGCTGGAGCTGGAGGACGAGTGGCAGTTCCGACTTCGGGACGAGTTTCAGACGGCCAACTGCAGCGAGGATCGGCCCCTCTACTTTTTGACCGGCCGACACGTTTGAACCAGGTCAGGTTGGGGTTTRGGTCTGATTCCGAACAACAAATCCCTCCGAGGCTGGTGGACGTGGCTGTTCCTGGATCCTCACGGCTGCAATAAAGCCTGACTCAGAGTTAGTTCTTTCAACTCATTTGCCACTTGACTTGTATCCAATAGAGCTTTTTTTCTACCAATAAAAAGAAAAGGCAACAACAACAACAAAAAAGAAAGGCAACAACAACAAAAAAAGACTTCTGCGTGGGGGGGGGACGCACAGCTGAATATGAACTTTATTCATCATGTTGTCAAAAACAAGTGCCCTCCGATTGCTAACAGGACTACTGGAGGCTTGTGTGTGTGTGTCCACCAACTTTAAATCCAGTGCATCCAAAACTGGACACACGTTTTTCTCAGGGTTTCAACATTAAAAAAAAAAGGATAGAAGGGATGTGTAGCTTAAAGGCGTTATGTTTTTGTTTATGTTTGGCACTAACTTCTGATGGCACCAAAGACTCAGCTGCACCTTCTGCCTTCGCTTTCCAACTCTGCCTCTGAAACTCCATGAAGCTCAATAACTCTGCAGCCCAAAYGCATGAACAGGAAGCTTCGTTTAGATTTGATTCCCCCCTAATAAAACTATGGCATTCTTCTCAGTAAGGAAGCAACTATTTAATCGAGCACATTTAACATTTTCTATTGGGCCTCTAAAACATTTGTGGCATCGATAATCTCTCTGATGAGGAAGTGCGCCAGGGTGCTTTTAGTTTCCAAATGACTGAATCTTCACAACTGAAATGTTGTGACTTTTAAAGAATGTAAGGCTTTTATGTAGTATTATGGCTTGGATATAAATATATAAAGTCTGGTTGTTATTAAAAATCATTGCTTAGACAGATGCTATTTTCAAAAACTTGTTTAAAGGGACAATTTGGATATTCTGAAATGGGTTTTCTGTGGAAATGTGTCAATATCTTACCTGGTGCAGATAGCTCTTTGAGCAGTAAAATGGAATGTAGTTTTGACCTGTTAGCTTGATATGGTCAGAGGGATAAATRTTGTTCCAATCTGAGCTCATTCAAAGAGCTTTCCACAGAATCTCCCTTTAAATGATCTGAACTATTCCTTTAACGCCAATCAGAGCAACTCAGACTCCCATTTAAATGTTTGTTGGTTTCTTTCTTTTGCATTTAGACATCTGCTGACCTCAGCAGATAAAATGTCACAATCAAGCTCCCTCACTGCCACTTATCTCGCTCTCTGCCTGTGCCTAGGACCTCAGCTCCTGTTTTAACGTTCTGAGGCAGATTGTACTTCGACTRTCTCAGCTGCCCTTCTCTCAGTGTACCTTATACTGCCGCCCTCCTCTCCCTCCTCAGACTGAAAGTTGACACTCTGTCAAAAAGCAGCTTGCCAGACTACATACTTGAAAGTATTTTTGTGTGTTTCTCCACAGGGTTGTCTAAAGAATATGCCTTAACTGATGTTAAACATACACAAAAAAAAACTTGTTTCTGACCAATGAGAATGAAAAAAATGACTCTGAGGGAGTGAGTTGTATTTTTTTTTTTTTCAGAACAGAGTGGAAATTATTGAGATAGTGGACTGCTGTACTGATAAAAGTTTGTTTACATTACTAATATATTTTATCATCCCCCAATAAATCATGGTTAAAGGATGTTGTTTTTTTAATCGTGTTTAACTTTTGTCAGTTCTCCATTTTATGTTGCAARGGCAAGAAGAAATCTACCGAGATATCTTTTTAAACACATCGACATCCCTTTATGTTCTCCAGGTGGGATTCTGTTCGAAATGATAAATCAGGTCCAGGAGGGATTTTTATTTATTTGACAATTTAAAGAAATAATCATTGCGAAGTGTGATATTAGAGGAACTCCCTCTTCAGAAACACTGACAAAGGCTTTGCACAGAGATACCAAACAGATGATTTATCACATTTATTGAATGTCATTTAGAGGGGGGGAGGAAATGTGAACTTGCACTATTCAAGTTACTAGCTGGTTAAGATAATAACTGCTCCCTCAGAATTAGGCCAAATATAAAATCAGTGTCATTCTCTGTTGGTTCATAAAGTATGTTTTTTTTTTCTTTCTGAAAATGTAAGACTTAATATGCAACTTGCTCTCACAATCTTCACTGAAATGTGTTCGACGTGTTTGTGCAGCTCAGTGGTTGCCTTGGTGCCTGTTTTATCTACCTCATGTTTACCATTGTTGCTGGCTGTGAATAATATAAAAGTGGAGTCCAGCTGTTGTTGAAATTTTATGAATGTATTAAAATTGAGTTCTAAATCATTTTTATCGCGTTGCTTCTCTTTTCACTACACGTGGTAATCCTTTTCCACTTTTCCTGTAATGGCAAACAGGAAAAGTGGCAGATTTTGCGAACTTCACTTCTGTCGTTCTCTCAACACGTTTATCCTCGATGACCCCACGTACTGTCTGGAGGAGAAATGTCTTCTAAAATGAATGCTGGGATCTTCTGACGGTACTGGGAGGCACTATTTCAGCACTATTTCAGCTCCTGTGAGCACACCTTCCACCTGCCCACGACTTCAGTGCATTATGACAAGACTATTTTCAGTCTGCTCTTGTCAGCACTGAGAGAAGCAGACAACGGGTGTGACGCTCTGATTCAAGCGCCTCAAGAGTTGCTCTTTGGAGCAATTCTGAAACCSATTGTGCAAAGGATCCCTGGCCGAGTTGGATCTAAAAAGATGTTTGGGAGTCCCAAAGTGCTTAAAGTGCGTGAAAAGTGAGAATCCCAATGTCTGTGAAAGAAATTTACGTTAATCGTGTTCGTTACCAGGATGTGTGCGAAACCAKACAGRGAATGTGCAAATGCATTGAGAGAGTGTTAAAGAACAGCCATACAAAACCAAGAGCGCTCTGGCTGATGTCTGGTTTATTGTTCCAGGAAATCTGACTGAAGTCCGGAAAAACAATGAGTTTTATCAATAGCTTCAGGGCATAACTCCGCCTATATTGATTACGTCATCAGTGAAGGGAGGCCCTGTCATTCTGTCAGAGCCCTGCCCTCAAACAATTAAAAACCTATCCTAATGATCTTAAAAGTACAAATATATGTTGTATTTGTTACCAGGCATGTAACTGAATAAAATCAAGTTAATCAAAAGTCACATTTAACAGTCATTACAATTCTATCATTAAACAAATTATACTATGTGTAGTGTAACTAAATCAGTATAAAACGTGAACCCCAATAATTTCTTCATCTGAACAGACGAATGTGTAAAATGTGTAGTTTTTAGCATCTTCACAGGAAGCTGCTTTACTTAATATTCCTTGATACTTTTATTCAATAGTTTAGACAACACCGTCAAATTCTGTTTAATTCAACTACTTAAAGTTAATATTTAATAGTCTATTGAGATTATTTTGCACTGAAAATAGGCAAATTATGATTCCTAATGTCAGGTTCTGATTGTCTACTGTCTCTAAAACAAAACACATCTTTTTTTATTCTTGTACAATTGTTTATATGATATTTTTTATTATTATTAGAAGTATCATTGCTAGTGTTAATTTCATTTTTTGTGTACTGTCTATAGTTTGTAAAGTAACTAACT